TTGACCAACTCCAGGGTAAAAGGTGATGGTGATTGCAAACTCCTGCAGGAACAAAGAATCAAACAGTAAGTGCATCCATAAGGCAGATAAATACAACAATGAGTAACTTAAACAATAATTTAGCAAATTACCTTTGTGAGTGCTGTAATGATAGAAAGAGAAAAAGTTGGTCACCTTTTTAATAGTTTGTCAGCATTACAATTTATTGAAAGATAAAAAACAAACAAACAGTAGTACAACTGTATTGTTTGGCACGTGAAGTTACCTGGTCTCCTTTTGGCACAGGTGGGATCCTCCTATCTGTAACTACACCACGTGAATATACAATATGAGATTTAAACTGTGACCCAGAAAGGCAAAACAATTTCAGTCAGCTGAGATGTTACCTGTTTTCATCTTTTGTCAGCCAGGCTTCAGATCTCTATTTATCACAGGTGCTGTGTTTCAAACACAGAAGACAAAGGTGAAAAGGTTCTTCTGGGACAGAATCAGCTTTTGCTCCGTTTACGGAAAACATTACAGTACATTTAACTAAAGACAACCAGTATCCTTCAATTAATCTGTAATAATCAGCTTTAGTGTTAGAGGATGCCAAATCTACTGAGACCAGAAGCTGTAAATCTATGAGAAAAAAGTATTTTATGTTAAGCTGCATTAAATTAAACAGAAAAAAAGAGTAGCCAAAGACTGCACATTACTAGAGGCTGAATATTTCTCACCACACCGTGCATGGATGAGAGGTTTATCTGGATCCTGCTTAGTTAAAAAAAATTCTTAAGAATTTCAAGGATCAAGGATCAAACCTCTACCAATCTACAACTAATGATAAAACTCTAAACATATATAAGTAGATATTTCTAAGCATAAATGACAATAAACAATACAAAACCTAACAATTTAACCACATCTTCTGAGAAAAATAACATGATCATGCTTTGAAAACTGACAGAGAAAAAAAATAAAACAGATCAATTCTCATAAAATGTCTAATAATAAATGAATGAATACAAACAAAATGTGTTTTCATTGGTTGTCAGTATTTTATGTAAAATATAAAAACATAACATATAAAACCAATGTAATCCAGTTTGCCTCAATATATTATACATTTTGCTTTACTTTGAAATGTATGTATATAATATAAGTATATGTATGTATTATGAACTTTATCTGTAATGTACATTTATGACCATATGTCAGGTCAAATCTTATTTTTACTTTACACTACATTTTATTATTTCTTTTTCTTCTACATTTAATTTTCTTTCTTCAGTTTTTGTGATAACTAAAATGGAAATAAAATAGAGCTAAAGAGCCCTCTGACACTCATTTTTCACTTTTTCACTTTATATTGTTATCGTGTGATCTCATTGTGTTGTGTTTATTTTATTTAATCTCAATTATCTATTCTATCTAAATTTCTAAATCTATCTATCTAATTTTTTGGGCAATTTAATCTTTTTATCTGCACCATCACTCCAAGAGCTGTTAAATGGTGTTTCACTGTTTTGGAAACAATGAGAAAAAGTTCTGTTCTATTCTATAATGTCATTTCTACCAGTAGAAGAAAACAGAAAACTTTAATGTCTCTACTAAACCTCAGTGTCATCTGACATAAATCAAACAACTGGAGGAAGTTACATTTTAGGAAAGACAAAATGTTTATTTAAAAGTTTATAACTTTTACAGGATCTTTCTGAAGCTGTTTTATCCTCATTTGTTACTTTATTTTGTGATTTTCCAACTTTTCCAGAGAGGGGCTCCGTAACAGTGTTTTACCTGCAGTAGAAGTCAGATCCAACCATCCTGCTCTTTGTGTTTTCTTCTCTTCTATTCCTGAAGGGGCGAGTCCAAATCACACAAACAGGTTTCTCTCTCTCTCTCTCTCTGTGCCTGTGGCCCCGCCCCTCCCTGACCTGCCAGTCCCAGCTGGTCCTCCTCCTCCTCAGTTCACATCCTGTTTCACAGGCCTGCAGAACAACAGCGCCCTCTGGCTGCGCAGGTGGTGCATCATTTAGTTCAGGGGCTCAACAAACCTTTTGATAACAAACCACAGAATTAAACACTGAGCATTATAAATTATTTATGCATATGCAGTTTTTCTATGGTTTTATACTTTGTGCCTTGCTTTTCTCCTTTAATCCTCTTGCTTTTTATTTATTTGTTTCCTTATTTATGTCTGAACACCGGGGGTCAAAGATAAATGTCATTTTGATATTCTATATGTTCTGAACACATAACAGGTTTGACAATAAAGGTAACTTTAACTCTTTTGACCTTTTAATTATTCCTCCTCTGTATAAATTTCAGTGTGTAACTATTCCTGAGCTTTGAGAAAATTCAGACAAAATTTACATCAAAATCTGTGGTTCAGTTAGGAAGAGTGTTCAGTGTTATTCAATGTGATATAATTGCTCTAACTGAAAAACCAACAGAACAAAAGTGTTTTTAGGAGGTCTGACACTGAATTGCTCAAACGCAATTTGTACCATAGCTGTGAAATTGTTCACTTCTGTGAATCACGTTTAAGGCCGATGTGAACAGTTCATAACTAAAAGTAAAGATGGTCAACAAATACCTCCATAAATAATCAATATTTGCAACGTTATTCAGAACAAAATGCAGTCTGTTGAAAAGAGTAAACTCTGGTTTATGTGATTCAGCAGCTAATTCAGAAGGTTTGTTATATCTGGCTCCAGCAGCTGCACATGTCGATTGTGGGTTTGTCACATTTAAAATGCATTTAAATATAAATGTAATAAAAATAATAAAATGTACAATAGGAAAAGTTACTGAGGTGAAAATCCGTGAGAAAGTCTCAGAGAGGTTTAAGCTGAAGCGACAGACTAATTAAAAATTCCTCAAACCAAGATGGATTTAATGTGAACAGCTGTTGTAAATATTTTGTTTTTAAAAACGAATGACCCACAGAAAGTATGATCATTAGTTTGTCCTCGCAGGCTTTGTGACATTATCCTCACAAAATATTTGTTTTCGCCAAACTGTAAAAATGAAATGAAATGTCTTTAAAAAAATTTTGTTTATTTGGCATTATCTTTATTATTGTTTGAATAAATGCACAGTACAAAGTACACTAGAATTTTAATTTGGTCATTTTACACTGTTACACTACAGAAATGCTTTTTAAGCCTGAAACACAATGAATTGATAGATATTAAACTATATTTAAAACAAAAGTGAAATAAAAATGGAAGACTCAGAATAACTCAGGCTTATCGTCTGACAATTGTCTGCTCATTATGTGGAATTCAGTGATTGAGCAACTGATGAAGAAATAAAGTTAATAGAGTTTTCTGTCTCATTCATTAGCTACATATGTTTCAGTGATAATATTAATGACGTCTGCGACAGCTTTTGTTGTTGTTGTTGTTGTTGTTTATTGGTTGGTCAGTCACTTCCAGTGAAACCCTGGCTCGGTGCTGTAAACTCTGCCTGAGGGCCAAAAGGTTGTACTGAGGTGGAGTGTCAACAGGGACTTCAATGTGTGCCAGAGTTGTGCTTTGTCCGCTTCTACGTTGCGTGTTCACCTGGAGCTGCACGTTGTAATGCCACTGATTATTCCTGTTAAACCCACCCTGTAGGTCAATGCGAAGGTTACTTGAACTAACCACTGTGTACCTGGAATTTTGGGCCAGGCCCAGGCCGTCCCATTGGTCAATTAAATTGAATGCATCTTCACGGTAATTTTGAGAGTCTGCGATGGTTCGGTTATTTTCTGTTGCTACGAACGTGGTCACTCTCCTCCTGTTGTTGTCAATGTCCTCTTGAGTACAGATCACCTGTGGCGGGTTAGTTTGATTGGGTTTCTTGGGTTTCCGTTTGGTGCGGCGTGGCACAGAATACCTGCACTCTCCAGGAGAGATGACTCCACAGTAATCCCAGTCATTGTTGTCTGTTGTGTAGCACCAGTTATATCCCTCGCCATGGTCTCCACAATTGTGATCTGAGCGACAAGGCACACCTTTGTAGGTGACGTCTGGCGTAGGTGAGCAGTAGTCCCAGCCATCATGAGTGTGGCACCAGAAGTAGTCAGAATACTGGCAGTCATCAGTGCAGTGTTTTCGGTATTTGGTGTCATGAATCACTGCCTTTGGCTCCACTCGTCCACACTTGTCCCAGCCTCCTTTGTCCAAATAGCACCAGTGGTAATCTTCTCCATGTGTGTCACAGGGATGGTCTTGGCGACAGGCGTTGCCTTTGTAATCAACGTTTTTGCTTGGTGAGCAGTAATCCCACCCCTGTGTGGACTGGCACCAGTAGTAGTTCTCACTGTGCGTTTCACAGCTATCATAACACAGCATACCATATGTTAAGGTGTAATGGTTTAAGTCCTCTATCACATCTCCACAGTATCCCCAATCCGAGGCTGTTTTACACCAGTAGTAGCCATTTTCGTACTGCTCACAGCAATCAGAGCACATGTTTCCCTTGTAGTCCACCCCACTCTTTGGTGAACAGTACTGTAGTTCTTCTGTGCCATCTGTCTTGCGAACCGTGCACTGGTATGTCAGCAATAAGCCCATAAAGCCCCGAGGATGACAGTCGTCGGTGCATTTTATCCCATAATAGCTGTAGAATGTTTTTCCAGAGGTGGACCATGGAGAGACGCAAAGGACAAGAGTGAGGAACAGTGAGGGGAGTCTCCTGTGATCCTTCATTTTAGCTCTGTAGAGAAAGAGAGAGAGGAGAACAACTCTTTACAATCATACATCAGTAAGAGCAGGAAACACAACACCAAACTGACCTATGTCTGCTCATATTATTGGGCTTCGTTACAGTGAGATACTGATGGTAGTTTGGGTTGCGATCAAACTGGTTGTGATCATGGATTAAAGAAACAGTGACTACTAGAATCAAACAATCTCCTTCACACTGTTCAATGATCTCTAAAATCTGGAAACATCTGTGTTATCATTAGTTTTTTTTAATTACACCATGTTACATATTTATGGACTTAAGTAAATCAAATGCATCACTCTAGGAATGGAAATGTTTAATGTTGAGTATTAGCTTTATACAACAGTAAAATAACTACAGTATACTTTACTGTTAAATCTATCCAAGATGATGAATTCAGTTACTTTGAGTAAATAATGCATCTATTAGCTATTAGTGTTAGTTAATCTCTGAAATCCAATGATCTCAGTTTAGAGGGAAAAAACACCAACTTACAGTTGCTGCATCTGCTGCAGTTTGCTGTTTGAGGCTGACGTTCTTTATACACATGGTGTTTGTCTCAAATCTTGGACTGAACCATTTTGGAAAACCTTGTACTCTGTTAAATGGTAAATGGCCTGTATTTGTATAGCGCTTTTACAAGTCCCCTCTAGGGACCCCAAAGCGCTTTACACACCCAGACATCCACCCATTCACACACTGGTGGAGGCAGCTACATTGTAGGCACAGCTGCCCTGGAGCGCACTGACAGAGGCGAGGCTGCCGTATCGCGCCATCGGCCCCTCTGGCCAACACCAGTAGGTGAAGAGTCTTGCCCAAGGACACAACGACCGAGACTGTCCGAGCCGGGGCTCGAACCGGCAACCTTACGATTACAAGGCGAACGCCCAACTCTTGAGCCACGATCGCCCGTTAATACAGAACAGAGGGCCTTCTTCAAACACAGTGGTCAATGTTTCTGTTTGCTTGACTGTAAATTACTGCCAAGTGTCTGGGAAGACCATATAGATCCACTGATCAGCCACAACTTTAAACCACTGACATGTGAGGTGAATGACACTGATCATTCGGATCCAGTCCAACGTTGTGCTGGGAAACCTTGGCTCCTTCATCCATCTGGATCTTTGACATGTACCACCCACATAAACACTGTTGGAGACCAAACACACACACATTGTTTTTATGTATGTTCACATTTTACTTGTTTTTAAGGACACCTGAGTCTTTAGGATTTCAGTGGTCATCGATGTCACACAAACAGACCAAACATCCTCAGAAAAGGCCCAAGTCTCTAAAACAACATTTAGACATGCACAAGGTTTCACAACACCAGCCTCTGCCCAGTGACATGACGCGACATGCCGAGCACCTGAACAAATACAACTGTTTCATCCAAGTTTTTGTTTAGGTGTCCTGCTTTTTCCTGATTATCTAAAGTCTCTTTTCACCCACTGCCATCATCTGAACCCGTCATAAAACTCAAACAAACAAAGGTTACAGTTAGGTTTAGAAACTTAAAAAGCCTGCTTAAAAAGAAACTGTGTTTTCGCAGATTTGTTGTCTTCAGTTTTGGAAAGGCCACGTCCGTCGCATCAAGTCCAACTGACTTGAAATTTGACACAGTCCAGCCCAATGTGCTCAACAAAAACACCTCCTGGAGTCTGCCATGTTGATTTCTCTGCTAATATGCATAATGAGGAAGACAGTTAAATTAGTTTTTGGATTTTGATGCTGTCAACAGCACATTTGGTAGACTGTATTTTAGGACTAAGCTGCACAATTCTACTGTAAATGTGCAGGATTGTCACTAAGGGCTTAACAGAAAATGTATTCATTAAGGATTTGACAATTATCATAAATATTTTGAGTGTGTGTTTGGAAAAAGGCAGACCCAAACATTTAGACCCTGACCCATAGCAAGCACCACAACAAAACCACCCACCTCAAAACCTGGTACACAGAACTTGATAGCAAGTTTTCAGATTTTACCTGATCTGACTTACTGGAAACTGAAGATGATCCTTCAGCTTAATGCAACATGAAGTTCATTGTTAATGCATTTACTAAAAAAACATCAAGACTCAACTCAAACCAAACAAAAAGAAATTCAGGCTGAAAAATCATTCAGATTCCTTCAATACAAATCAAAGAGCTCAAAAAAGAAGAGAGAGAAAAGAGACAGCATCTGTAGGAGGAATAATACTCAGAATGATATCATACTGGAACAAATAATCAGGCAATCATTTTCACAGCCACCAGGTGGCAACATTTCTTCTTCTCCACTAGTTTGGAAACTGATAGTTATTCTAAGAATGTCCACTAGATGGAGCCAAGTCCTTCGGAGCTGGTTTACTGAGTCTGTTAACTCTCATCTCTCTGTGTTTAACCCATTCAGAACCTGCTGATGAAGTTCATTCATGTGCACATGGAAAAAAATGTTATAATCATTTTGAGTTATGAACAGTTGAGGCCGATGCCGGTGTCAGACTGTTTACATCTCTCACACGCGCCTACCTGTCACACCGTATCCACACAGCTCCCCCTGCTGTCCGACCTCCTCCAGTCCCTGCTCACATTACCAACAGACACCAGGACCGGACACCTGACTCTCCCTGCTTAAATAGAAAATATAAAAACACCTCCTCCCCCTGTGAGCTGTGTCCTCTTAAACACAAGGTCTCTGACCATTAAAACCTTGAACTCAACCAGTAAACTGGACTTTCTCTTCTGAACTGAGATGAATTAGCGCTGCTGATGTCTTGATGTATGAATGAGAATGTGAGTGAGTCAACAACACTGAGCTGAAAACTGACAGGATGACTCATTATAAAACCTCCTCATTTTAATGACAAGAGTCAGAGTTTTTCCTGTTTTCATGTGTTGGAATCAAACTTCACTTTATCTTCAGAGTCAAACAGAAACAATGAAAACTCTCAGAATGAAGCTGGAGATGATTTTTAATAACATGACATCTGCTTCTTTTACAATCACAGACAAGAGCAAAGAAGCACATAGAGATGATGATGATGATGATGATGATGATGAGTCAGTCCAGTCTAAAGGTTTTTGGTTCTGTTTGAATGAAGTTAAAGAACAGATCAAACTGTCCTGGATGTGTGATTGATAAGTTGTTTAGCTGTTTTCAGATTATTCTAAACTTTCTGTGACTCCACATCTGTTTTGTTGATTCTCTCCTCAGTGTCTGAGTTTGCATCACGTTGTCTTTCCTGCAGAATCCTGCTACTGATTGGAAGATGTCAAACTAAGTCTCTTGAGAATCTTGTCCAGCATGATTTTCAGGGTGCTGATATCAGGCACAGAATAATCTAATTTGGCCACTGGGCTCCTGCGGATTTCAGAAACCTTTTCACATGTGTCTCCATAGTAACGATCTGGGCAGTTACACAGCCATTCATTGGAGTCCAGCAGCCTCTCACACTTTCCTCCATTCTGACAGGGATCAGGGTCACAGACGGGTAAGGATTTGGAGTAATAGATGTGGATGTTGTAGACCGAATAGCCCCACTTACAGCTGAAACTCTGCAGGGCTTTTGGGTCTACAACAGAATCAGTAGAAGAGCTGCTGTACATTACTTTGATATACTCTGTGACAGGAACACCAGCCACCTCATAACTGCACAGTTTTTTATGTTCAATATCCTCACACAGCTTCCTCTTTACATCATAGTTACCACCATAAACAGACACTCTCTCATACCGTATCTCCTGGTAACAAGAATTCAACAGATTCTTAACTTCTTCTTTTCTTTCTTCGTTTGTTTTCTGAGTATAGTCCACAGCCACAGTGATCTTACCCACAGGGACATTTGTCATATTATATCTATAGATGTACTTTTGCTCCTGGTCTGTGTTGTACACCAGCACCACCCAGTTATACCAGTTGTACTTGTTGTCCAGAGCCTTTTTCACCTGATCAGCGATGGAGGTTTTGTCGTCAGGATTCATTGCTTTTCCGATCTCCTCCACATCCTTCTCCATGTACTTCTTGTAGTTGTCCAGGCAGAACTTCACAGCTGATATCTGAGCTTCAGAGACATTCTTGAACATCTTGGTTTGTTCAGCTTCTTTGCCTGACGGGTTAAAACCAACCAGATCCCAGTAGAGCTGGTTGAGGAACATCCCCCTCCACAGCAAGCTGCTGAAATATATGTTATATTTGCCGATCTCTCTAATGCTACATTTAAACTTCTTCCTCAGCAGGTCGTTGAGGTTTCCACTGAGAGACGTGCTGCTGACTGTCAGGTAATGATAGAGGTTGGCCACACTGGCCTCAACTGCTGTGTTCTCATAGTAGTTGGTGAATATCTCTGCCAGTCGGAGTTTGTCTTCAGCAGTGTTTACCAACCCACTGTTCTCACGAAACTCTTCAAACTTCTTCCAGGCGTTGAGGATGCGGACCTCATCTTGAGAATAGACGCTGGCGTAGTTGAACCATTCTACATCTGTTGCCAGGTTGGAGATCTGGAGGGAGAGAGAGTCCAGTTTCCTGTTCACCTCAGCAAACCCTTCCCTCAGCTCCTTCAGAGGGTTTTCTTGAGGGATGAAGGCCAAGACCACATTGACAATGGGCGAGACCAGACCTCCGATGACGGGTGCCAAGCTGGCGATATTGGAGATCCCCTTCAAGACACTTGACAATGTTTCAACATTTTTCTTTCCAATCCTGTCGCTGATGAAATTCAGAACATCTTTTGCAGTCTGCATAGATGCTGCGACCTCCTCTCTGGTACGGAAAGGCAGGGCTCTTTTTACCCTGTGTGGTGGAGACAGGTTGGTGGAGGTGGAGTCATGTGACCGAGCAGAGGAGGTCGTCCAGTAAAGAAGGAGGATCAGTGAAGCCAACAGCATGGAGGTAGACCACCGTGGAGACGCCATGACTGCAACACAGATAACATAACATGTGACATTTTCCTTAATGCTGTACATTGAAGAGTACCTCACCCTCCCTTCACAACCTGCTGTTTTCTAGAAGTTTTCCTTATTCAAACTGACAGACTGAGAGTTTTGTTTGGTGCACAGACTGTGACTCTGTCCAGGACAAATTTGTGAAACTGGGCCATAAAACCAGCTCAGTGTCCTGCTAATGAAGCCCATATTGGACAGTTCATTAAGATTTACATCATGTCCTTTGATGGATGTGTACGTCTGACCTTCATACCAGAGACCAGAGTTCACATAAATTGTAAATGGTCTGTATTTGTATAGCGCTTTTCTAGTCCCTAAGGACCCCAAAGCACTTCACACTACATTCAGTCATCCACACATTCACAAACTGGTGATGCAGCTACATTGTAGCCACAGCTGCCCTGGGGCGCACTGACAGAGGCGAGGCTGCCGGACACTGGCGCCACCGGGCTCTCTGACCACATCCAGTAGGCAAACTTGGGGTTAGTATCTTGCCCAAGGATATTTGACATGCAGCCAGGAGGCAGCCTGGGATCGAACCACCAACCTTCTGATCACAGACCTGCAGGAACATTTGTCCCTTTATCAACTGAACCATGGCCACTCGTGTTTTTATTGTCTGAGCCTTCCCACACATCACCTATAACTTAGAGAGAGAGAGATGGGGAGACGTAGGGGAGGGAGAAACTAACCTGAACATCATCAATGATCTTTGGTAATATTTGGTTAGAAAAGATTTTTGAACTTCATCATAACAACATTTCAGAACAAAGTTTAAATGATGTGTTGTAGAAACGACTGTGGAAAATGTTTTTGTGAGAAAAACATTAACATTTAAATATAGAACATTTTCACATCATTGGATGAACACTGTGAAGTAATGACACAGTTCATGACTGTGGACAGAGCCTGGACAGGTTAATAACATCACAGCCTCATTTTACTGACCTCACTGGTGTGTAACATCTTTTCTCTGTAAGCTGACTGTATGAAGCAGGTGATGACAAATGTTTCTCTAAATATATCAAACATTAATATTCTATTGATTTTAAATGATCAAACAAAGATCAGGTTTTAGTTTCTGTCTTATGGAAACGAACCTTGAAGGACCAGAGACCAGTGAAATGCAGCATTTTATATGAAGTTCTCATTCAGCAGTATTTAATATTTGTGCCATATATCAGAACAAAGGAGTCATGAACAGAGGGGCAACAGGTGGTAAAAGAAGTGAACAACCTGTGGTCAGTCATGTTTGTCAGTCAAAGACTCACAATCAAAAAACCTGAAGTTTCCACTACACAAGTGAAACAATTTGATTTGATTGAATCTTTATTTTGAACATGTTAAAAAAGTACA